TAATAGTTATACGCTGATTAGAGTAACTACGCACTGTAGAAAGCCGAGACCCCTGCATTGTGGCGCCCACAGTGCAGCGAGGGCGCTACCCCCGGGGCACGAGGCTTTCTACCGGCGCGTGGTTACCGAGGAATCAGCGTCTAACTATTTTAGAGTGAGCGCTTCACGTTGAGCGCTCTGGCTTTCCTGTTCCTTCGTATGGCGGAGCGCTTCTAACGATGACTCGATGGAGGCAGGCTCAGAGCGCCAGAAAATGCAGTGCAAGAGGAGCGAAGCGGCCGAGGACACGCGGTAGCGACTCCGCCTTCTTTTTCTGGTGTGCGCGTGACGGTTCTGCGCGCTGGGGGGTCTGCGCGTGCGCGTGGACGACGCGACAATGTAGATTCAGTTGTTGATTACATGTACATTTTGTTATGTTTTCCTGTTTTAACTGTAGGTTTTGTAGTTTCTGTAGGTTTACTTAGTAAACCCCATCGAGGTTTACTACCGGATTTAGTAAACCTCACCTTTGCAATCTGATTGGTCAATTCAAACTTAGCCCACTCTAAACTGCAGTTGCAACCACTCACCCAGTGTAATAGTCATCTCGTCAGATACTCCAGGTAGCATGTTACTGGTGATAACCTCTACTGAGAATGTGTATGTCTCTCCATTAGTGAGACCAGAGATGTCTCTAGTTGTAGAGCTCATAATATCAGTCATAGTCACACTTCCACCAGAAAGAGAGTAGCGAACTCTGTAGCCAGTTATTGAGGTTTCAGAGGGTGGACTCCAGGTCACTCTGATGGCAGTGGGAGCTGTTTGAACCAGTGGATCGAGGGTTGGAGCTGTAGCAACTACAGAGAAACAGGCAGCAGTAATAGAAAGGGATACTGTCAGAGCTGTTACCTCTCAAAGTCACACTGCTAAAGCTTGATGCAAAGTTAGTGACATTGCACAGGGATACATCCCAGACCATGCCACTGGATATGACTTCTGTCCTGGCAGTGTACCTGTCATTACTCAGAAACAGTGGAGTACCAACTGCCTGTATGTTGGTACTGATGTCAGAGTTGTATCCATTAGGTCCAGAGACGGCCATGTTGAGAGCTCTACCACCAGTGGAGGTACACCTCACTCTGAATGTCGATGTTCCTGCCTCCACCTCAATAGCTGCAGTTACCTCAGTGACTGGAGGAGAGGAATCATACAAGACTACCTCTCACTATATCATCATGAGAGATGGCTACTCACTGGGGTAGAGGACGTACAGTCCTACTACATCGTTAGTGTCTAAACGAAAATAGCAGTTGATATATCCTTCCTCTGGAGTTTCCGACCTTCTCCACAAGTAGTGTACTCTACGACCACCTTCATTAGCTCTCCTTCCACTCCATCCTCGAGTTATTCCGCCGCTATTACGCAAATCTATTGTGTCGGGTCTTTGCCGCATTACAAAGTGACTGGACTATCTCCACCACCAACATGACAGGCATGAGTAGAGCAGGGACTTCAGAGCAGACAGTTCAGACTGACACCTCAGAGCTCTGTTGAAATCACCTTGAATTCACAACTCAAAGTCATACACACTGATCCTCGTCATGTTGTCATTAGAAACGGATATTTGACCATTATTCACAGTTATAGTCAGTCCTGTGGAGAGATGAGAGAAAACGAACAACGAAATTCAGCCGCTGACAGGCAACACTAATATTTTTAGGTGATGGAGGAAGAATCACAGTAGAGAAAAACAAACTAGCGAATTCTTCCCGCCGATCCAGAGTCACAGACCTTACCTTCCACTGTCAGTGTCATCCAACTACACAGACACAGCAGAGCAGCTAGCAGGTGCCGTGGCCGGGAGCAGCTTACCACTAGCATTTTCCACAGCTAGAGGACCTCGGGTCGGGCGCGGCGCGGGCCAAGCGAGCGCGAGATGTCTTCCTTTTGGGCCGAATAAACCTCTAGCTATCAGTTATGTTGGTCTCTGAAATGCAGTGGCTTACATAGCAGAAATGCCAACTCAGAATAAGCAAAAACATGTCAGAGAAACCAAACACACGTCACAAAGTGCATGAGGATGCAGTATATATTTGCACCAAGGGTTCCAGACAGCTAAGCAGGGATATAGTCTCCTTTAGTCCCTGCTGGTTTATTCTATGACACATTTTCCGCAGCTTGTGCTGTTAGCAAACTAGATGGCATGGAGTCACACAATGTGTACTTTAAAACATGTCAAATTTTATTAACAAAACATTATACTTGTCCCATTGTCTTCAAGTCAGCAGAAACCTGCAGTACAAACAAACAGAGTTTCGTAGCCAATAATTGAGGGTTATCCTTGAGTGAGGACCTGAAACGAGCCTCCAGTGGCAGCTCTGACATCGTCCAGACTCACTCCCTCCCCAATCTCCACCAGCCTCAGACCATTCTCCTTACACACCTCAAACACCGCCTGTGGCAGACGATAAGACTAATGCACTATCTCCTACACAGTATGTATAATACATGATGATGATGATGATAAATTTCATAACGTATTTTCAAATATCTTCCTTTCAATTTTAAAGGCTTTAGAAACAAGAAGTAGTTGAAACCCAGTCACAGGGAGGCAGGGAGAGTGGGGCACAACAAAATGATATACATTGAAAGGCAGGTTTATATACCATCTCAGTAACTATAAGATCCACCACATTCTTGCCGGTCAGAGGCAAATCTTTTGAGCTCCTCCCTACACAACAACCACACACAAGAGATAACTGGGTATATATCACAGAGGAGCCTGTGAGGCTGTGAATGCAATGCAATGCGAGTGTTTCCTTGTATTCCCCTCTCTCTGCAACACTACACTTTACATTCTTTTTTGCTGCAAATCTCGTGAACCAGGTTAAAATTGAGATAATAGTAGGGCACCCGTACCTTGGCCGTGTGCTCCATTGTGGCCACCACTCTGGTGGTGGGAGAAGAGACAAGGTCCATGGCTCCTCCCATTCCCCTCACCATCTTCCCTGGAATCATCCAGTTTCCATACTGAGACACCTGACACACAGATTACTAGAGATTACTGGGATATACTGACAGTATACCGTATTGGGAACACAGTTTTCTGGAGATTACTGAGATGTAATGCTAATATACTGACCTGCATGGCACCGAGCATTGTCATGTCTAAAAACAGGATTGAAAGTGTCAATATCAGAGATAACGAGAGGGGCTTACCCTCGTATCATGGCAAATGACTCATCACTGGAGAAGAAAGATCGTCCATCAAGAACACTCACTGTCTCTTTACCTGCACGGTAGTCTCACTCTCGCAATCAGACAACCAGAGAGAGAGAGAGAGATGAGAGAGCATTGATAAGGTCTGCATCTTCCTCCCCCTCAAATAGAAATGGGCCCTGAGAAACAATAATAGAGTAAGGTTGTTGTTTGAACTAACTATAGGGTCTCTCCACTCACAAGCCCTAGAACTCCGTTTTCACTTTGTAGCATGACTTTCATCCCGTCTGGGATGTAGTTGCTAGCCTAGCTACATGGGCATACCAATCCCTAGGTTGGCTGGGAAAACAGCATTCCCAAATTACGAACCTGCTGAGCTGGAAAAGATGGGCATACCATACATTCCGTCTCTAAACTTGAGAGCCGCTCTGCGAATGATTCCCTCCCTCATTCTTGCACCCTCGCTGGCCCCCTGTCCCCCTGACCCCTCCCCCCCTCCCCTCTTCTTCTTAGTGTCAATCTCTGTTAGAGAGATCATCAGCAGAACATGAACAGTTAAACTCAGAATAAGGGACATCACTATAATTCAGGTGTCCCTTACTCCAAGGTGGTAATGCATTAATATGGGGCAACAATATTGTTCTTTATAGAGAGGTGTCCTTATTTAGAGGGTCTTTTTCAAAGATTTCACTGTCTGTGAATTCCTGACTACAATTCTCTTCTCGTAGCGGTCCCAGGACCACTCTATCCACTTAGTGCATAGCTCATTTGAATCGAGTAATTTGATTGGTCAATACAAAGTTTCTGATTTTGCCTAGTAACTTGTGAATGTACAAAAACATGGTAAGGAACCTACAATTCTAACATGAAAACATGGTAAGGAACCTACAACTTTACAGAATTACATGGTAAGGAACCTACAACTTCTACAATGTTTACACATTTTCAACATGATATACATCATTATAAAACAAAAGACGTCAGAGAGGCGTCAAGAACGTGGATGTGTGCAATTGTGCACATGCGCGTGAGAGCAAAAAAGAAAACAGGTCATGGCAATTTGCAATGCCGCTGAGCTCTAGCTAGAGGAGCGCGGAGCCAGCCCCTGCTGTAAGCCTAGCCCATGCATATTGCTGGCACACAAAAGCCGTCGTAACACTTGAGCTAAAGGCTCGTTCCGTGCCGCGGTGTGCTGCCTAAGAAGCACCGCCGCTCGCTTTTACGCTCGTTCACCCGAACGCGGCTTCCGTCAGCGTCCTGCTGCCAAATCTCGATCGAAACTGACGCTTCGCGCGTATGCTCTGCACTAAAAAGGTTAGACGCTGGAACCTACGACGCTTCGCTAGTTGTTCTGCACTAAAAAGGTTAGACGCTCTGGACCCAGGGCCGGAGGGAGCAATTTTGTAGTGGTCAGGCCAACCGTACCGTGAGCGCGACGCGCGCCCACTCGGAGGGTCTGGGCTCCCCCAGGGAAATCTTGAAATTTAGGACATTCTGAGAGTGCTTCTGGTGCAATCTGGCAAATAATATGGCCTCTTGCCGGGCCTACATAGTCAAGTACATACATAGATAACAACTTGAAAAGGCCGCGAGGTGGCACCGCTGGGCTACGTTAACACTGTCCCCGCCACGCCGATCCGATCCGATCCGATCGGACCAGAGACCGCTGCCGCGCTCAACGAGACGCCACTCCCTCTTCATAATCACATGCGCATGCGCATGCACAGCCAATCACATAAAGTGGTCCAGCCAAAACTGGACCAGCCGTACCGGCGACGCCGGCCCTGGGACCTACGTAAATTCAGAACCCTCGGGCGATGTAGCGCCCTCCGCTGCACCACAGCTCCGCCCTCGGGTTTCTGAATTTACGTAGGTCCATCGCTTCAGCGTCTAACCTATATTATGTAGACGTGAGGAAGGCGGATGTCCTCCACCTGACAAGTCACATGATCAACAGATAGGTCACACGACAGTCATGTGACTTCAAACCTCAGCAATGGTACACCGGGCAGCCTTCCCCATGGGTACATTAAAGTTTCGAGCTGATTTTATGAAGAATAGGTTTCCACTGTTGTCAGCTTTCCAGGCTTTGATGAGGGCAAAGTCTCCAGTGATGGCTTCCTCCATGATGTACTGACGACCACCAAACTCTCTATGCTGGTATATAGAGAGAGGGGGGTGAAGAAAAACAGATAGGAATATGAGTACTGATAGCTATATAGCGTCTACGATATTGTTTGTGTGTGGAGTAGCAGGTGCCACGATTCATTTCAGTTTCCTCAAATTCCACAGCCAATTTGGGGATCCCCAACGGAACAGGGCAGATACACTATCATTTATGACACTTCTTGACACAGTACACCCGCCTCTGCTAACACATCAAGTAATACACAAACGGACATTAGACAAAACATAAGGAGTTGTCTTTGCAAACTTGTCACAACTGACTCAGTACACAGGCCTCTGCTAACACATCAAGTAATGCACAAACAGACCTAAAATATAACATAAGGAGTTGTCTTTGCAAGCTTGTCGCAACATTTCCCTCACAAACAACAACCCCACACCCCTGGCTCAAACGGCAGAGAAATGCCCACCTCTCTGGGTTGACTGGCAATCTGTACACTGCCTGAGCTGTCGTATTTGATGGGAGCTCCTCCTCGGTGGACCAGAGTCCCATAGGCTGTGGGGGTGAATAAGGCAGGCACCCCAGCTCCACCTGCTCTTATCCGCTCCGCCAAAGTTCCCAGGAGTAGAAACACATTAGGGATGCTTGCATGATGGATGAAGTTCGTAATGAGATGTGACCTGAGGAGTTAGCTCCACCTCCAGCTCCCCGGACAAGTACTGTCTCTCAAACTCGCCATTCTCCCTGACGTAAGAGGAGATCATTCTCTTTACCTGTCGTCCCTCCAGTCACAGACCCAGCCCAAACCCATCCACACTGTGCAGGATAGTGGTGAAAATCTAGTTAACAAAACAGTGGCAACAAATCTCCCATGGATATTGAAAATTCTTCAGCCTCTTCAGTCCTGATTGTGAGACTCTAGGATGAATAGAGGGAATAGTGAAGAGCAGAGCAATAGATAGTCTCCACGGTACGTTTCACATTGTGTACATTGTGTTATGTGAATGGAAGTGTGTATCAGGTAGTGTTTCACCCTCATTGTTGCTGGCAATGACCAGATCCCTCATTCCCTTCCTCCTGAGAGCAGGTTCTCTGGAATGCCACACAATCCTGCAGAAAATCCGCCATAAACCTCAATCCAAAAGGATCTATGTTTCTTATAACCTCCGACTAAAGGTTTTGAGCCATTTGCCACATCCTCAACTGTGCTCTCTGCAGTCTCATAGAACCGGACGTCACATGAGGAGGACACGGAGAGACCTCGCTGCAACACATTACTACATTACTACGTCTGCATTGTACTAAAGGGGGGCGTGGCAGGAAAACAAACCAACACGTGGGAAAGAGTGTAGCCGAATTGACTTTACTCGACGCCTCACCTTGCTTTGGCTAGCCAGGCGAGAGAGGGAGGGAAGCCCACGCCGAGCTCTCGGCAGGGACCAGAGCCACCATAGTTTGTCCGCAAAACTGCAAACTCTGAATGCACCCTGACCTTTGGAAAACTACGTGGGTGTGGCTACGCTGCAAAGCTAGGAGGGACAGCGTGCCTCAGCAGCACCTGCTGGGACTGAAAGGCAACCCTTTACGTGGCTCTCAGCGTGTAATCGTCTCCTCCGTACAAACCACAGTGATGAGACTGACGAAGCCGATGCTGAGCTATGCAGTACCAGATGTTAGGTGAGCCACTTGTCATTATAGTTTGCTCAGGCTGTATGTAAAAAGCCTGCCTCATCTAAGTCAGTTCATCACAACTATAATTGTGTAATCCCCACAGGGATGACACTGGAAGAGAACCTCTCCCAGGACATCCGCAGCCCAAGAGACCTGCACAGCCTGCTCCATGGAGAGACGCTACGGACTGCCACATGAGCTAGGGTCTGTCTCTCCTCCTCTGGTAGGGTGTGTGGGTTTAGGTTGGGTGGTCTCACTGCAGGCTGATATTCTTGTGGGAGACTTTCAACAGGCTTTAATTTCAGTCCACATGACAGCCAGGTATGTCGCCAAAGATGTTCCCGTAAAGGTATTAACTACTGAAAAACTCCACAGACTTTCTAGTTGAACTACCCACACCCACAAAGGAAACATTTGTGCTCATATTTGAGTGTTCCTGTGTAGGTGGAGGTTACTGACTCCGTTCACGTCCATCCTGCTCCTGTCAGAGCCCCCCCTTCCAAGCTGGACCCCTCCGCCGCGAGGATGAGGATCATCTCGCACGAGTGTCAAGGGAACTTGAGAACAGCAGGTCCGCTTCTCCCTGTTACTCCCTCACTCACCCCTCTTCCTCTCCCGCCCCTGTGTATGCTGAGTTGAAATGTGAATAGTAGTGATTATGTAAGTTAGGTTTATAATGTGAGTCAGGTGGAGATCTGACGATGCCGCCCGGTCCGCGGGGTAGGAGCTACGAGTCGACTACACATGTAAGCTTTACTATGCGAGCTAGGCGGTAATACGATATATATAAGACCGCAGTACCGAATGCTGCTTGCTTGCGGAGGCCGGGCGGACACGCCGCGAGAGACAGGTACCGCCAGCGCATCGTTAAGGGTGTGCATGAAGACCATGGCTCGTTCGTACCTTGCTAGGTGGTCCTGAGTTTGTCAGTGCACGCCCATGCTCGCCGGTCATGACCGATGAGCTCCACAGGGAGCATCTGGCATCTGATTGACATACAAGGCGAGTTTACGGGAAGCGTCACGCTAGCCCAGCAGGAATGAAGAGCCCGCCAAGGAGGCAGAATTAGTAGCGAAGCCACGAATGCCTGTTGGAGAACTGGCACAGGGCTCTTCAATTGACAGCATCATAGGTCAGGCGCTTACGCCCTCGCATGAATCGAAGGAGCAGCAGCGCAAGGAGGGATGCGCATTGCTGGACTGGACGGTCCAGCATACAGAAGGGTTCGCATCACTTCCACAAGCGTCACTGCATTTGATTGCGCATCAGAGGCGCGGATACGCACCTTTCGTGAGCCCTTCGAGCGGGCGAGGTTCCGAGATGACTGCCCCTCGGACGATCGGCCCGCCGTCAGTCCCTGCCAAACCTATGTCGCTCTGGCGCATGCACTATTTAATACGCGTCCTAGGTCACAAGCTTCTAACTGTGAAGGGCCAGGACAAGAACACACATGGCTGGAGAGATCCATGAGAGTCTCGAAGTAATCGTTTCCCTTCTTATGACCATCGCAGCCACGGTTCAGCTCTGTTAGGCGGCTCGATCTGCTTCTTGAGGATTCTAGGTCTCATCAAGGTCGGAGGTTGTCGGCATACCGTCGTTTGGAGCCGAAATACTGGATAAACCTCGCTCTACCTCCACGGCTAACTTGAGTCCTAGATGCAGACACTCACCAAGTAACGAGCTAAACGTTAGTAAGCGTCCCCGGCAGCTCCATCCGA